ATAATAATAACCAACCACCCCCACCTGAGGGGAAGAAAAGAAGTACACATAAAATTCAAAATATGTAAGAGTGATAAAGGAGGAAGAGATGATATAGAAAATAAAATCAGAGAAATTGTAGAAAACTAAATAATAAATAATAACATATTCATGAGACAGGAAAAGGGTCAAAGTAGAAAAACTGGAAAAATAATGGACAACTATATATACCCAATACTTCTTATTTTATTGAGGAACTAGTTGTGAAGCTAAGAATATATGACCTATGAGCTGCCAGTCATGGCAACCAGTCTAAGAGAATGGACAAATGGACAGAGGCTAAAAGGATGCTTGTGGCAATGGGTCTATTTTCTCCTGGAGTCAACACTATCCTAGCTTCTAAACACACACCTGGGACCTTTTTAGGCTTAGGTTGGGTTCTTTCAGTTGCAACCAAAAGATGGAATAGTGGAAAGCTAGCAAGACTTCCTCACATAATGAATTAGGAAATGGAGGCAGAAAGGACCAAGTCACTTACCCAGGGTTACAAAGTTACAGAGTTAAACTCTAGGCTTTCAGACTTCCAGTGCACTGCTCTTTCTTAGAGCTAGGACTTGGGAAATTAAACTAGCAATGACACATTTCTTTCCATACTTCCCCACTGCCTTCTTCCTTCTCTCCCTTCCTTCCCTCACTCCCTTTCTTCCTTTATCCATTCTGCCCTCCCTCTCTCTTTCTCTCTCTTCTTCCCTCCCTCCTTACTGACTATACTCCCTACAGTAGATATTTACTAACTTATGTAAGAAAAATTACTTTCAAAAGAAAGAAAAAATGCAAACATTCTCATTATTACATCAGAAGATTTTTAAAAAATCTAACATAAAGAATTAAAGGTTGAAAATTAATACCCTCTATTAAAATACCCTCTATTAAAAGAGGGTATTTCAGTGACAATTCTCTAAAAAAGAACTGGAACTTAGTGGAAAACATCTGTAAAGTCAATAATCTATAAGCAGATTTAAGATTCTCATGTTTTAACACGCTTCTTCATGGATTAAAAAATGATCATACCTTTGTGATGAATGGTGTTATGAAAACAAAAAATACATCATAGAAGAGGAGAAGGACTAGAAGTATCACACATGACTGTTGAGGAAAGAAATAAATTTAAAGATCAAATTTCCCATGTCTACATTAAGAGATCAAATTATTTTGCAAATATAAATAAGCACATGAAACACCTTTGAATGCTGTTTTTAAAGATATATTTTAGTTACTAACATATGTGTACTTTTGTTCTACAATCCACATTAGAATCCTTTTCTTCTTTATCTCATTTGTTTAAAAAAAAATCACTGAATCAAAGAAATGTTTCCCTGTGACATTTAGTCTGATAAGGATTTTATGAACTGGGCACATTAGATCCATGAATATTTTAGCTAACAAATCAGTGGTTGCCTTTTCCTGGGGATTAGGATTAATTTCAAAAGGGCATGATAGAGATTTTTGAAAAGAAAAGAGAAATGTTCTATAACTTTAGTGGGATGGTGATTATAAAGTTATACATTTGTAAAATTTCAACAAACAGTATACTAAAGATGGGTGTATTTACTGTTTGAAAATAATATCTTAATAAAGTTGTTTTTTTAAAAGGAAAAATATTTTAACTAGCAAAGTAATACACTTTACCTTGAAGTTGGGTAACTTCAGTGTTTTAATTAAATTCAGACAGAAAGCAATCCCCAAAATATCCTGTAAAATCCAAGCCCACCTAGAATCAAAAGATATTGCCTTATTGTTTTATCCTGCTGTTTAGATGAAACTTTTCAAAGAAACAGATCACTAAAGTAATATTACTCAATAGCTACGGTTTGTCTGCTTGATTATTAAACACCTAGTATGACAGTAA